CTGAAGAGGGAAAACACCGACAGATGTAGATGAACACATTTACAGACTCCCTGGTTTGATTGATTGATCATTGTAGCTACACTTAGAGTCACTTTGCTGCTGACAACGACCCGTTAATGACTTGTGAAACACGGGAGGAGATATCAGCAGGATGCTCGAATAAAAACCCGACAGCTAGAACGACACGTGTGGCTGCAGAAAAAGGCTCAGGCTCCTGAAACCAGTACGATATAAATGGCCTGTATTTGATATAGCGCCTCCTAGAGTCCTGTAACCCCCCAAAGCGCTTTACAACACAATCAGTCTTTCACGCTCTGGTGGTGATGAGCTACAATGTAGCCACAGCTGCCCGGAGAGTCTGCTGAACACTGGCACCACCGGTCCCTCCCAACACCACCAGGTGGGTTAAGTGTCTTGCCCAAGGACACGACGACAGCAACAGACTGGGTGGGGCTCAAACCTGCAACCTTCCGATTACGGGGTGAGCCCTCAACTCCTGGGCCACCGTCGCACACACGGACCGTTAGAAACACTCAGAGGAAAATGAACAAAATAAGGCCAGAAGGTGTTTAGAGTAACGCTAAATAACGAGGTCAATAATTATAAATATTACTTTCAAAATGAAGTTAAAAGTGGTTCATTTCAAAAAACATCCAAGGCTTATGATTAGTGGTTCATGTGACCTTAATGGAGGTTTATATAATAGTTTACTCAATAAAGACATACCAACAACAACTCCTGGTTACAAGTGGGGCTGAGGAACACAGCTGCGCTGTTCTAGAAACAAACCCGCTTTAGACTTCTTTCCCCAAAGAAACATTTCATCTCAGTTTTACAGACTAAACTTCAGATTTTTAGAAAATACATCGTAGCTGCTATATTACACTGAGCTTAAGCTGGAAACACAATTTCTACTTGATTCTGTAAATATTTCAGCTTCTATCTCAAGGTTTTGACTTCTTCTAACCCCGATATGAAGTCCGTTAATGGGATTTACTGGTGGAGAGGAAAACATGTCCTGAGCCTGAAGACATGACCTGACTGCCATGTGACCTGGTCGTTCATCAGCTGGTGTCTAATGAATGCTGCCTCCAACCCTGAGGGAGACCATGTGACACGCTGTGTTGCAGCCAAGCGCAAAGATCAGTGTGTGTGTTTTATTATAGAGCACACACAGTCCTTAAAGATTTCACACCAACAACCTCATTAATTAGAAAACGTACTAAAGATGGCGCACGTGTCCCTGAGCTGGTTACGGCTGAGGTCTGCAGCCACAGGGCCATTCCCATCAACCAGCTCGCAAAATCCATTCCTATACGCGTGTGTGTGTGTGTGTGTGTTCCAGTAATCTGCCCACCAAGCCAGCGGTGGAGGCCCAGAAGCACAGACAGCAGTATGAGGAGATGATGTGTGTCGGTCTGATACAATCCCTGTCAGTCTTTGGTGATTTTGTTTATGTTTATTGTTTATTTATTTAGCAGACGCTTTTATCTAAAGCGACTTACAATTTATAACCTATAGGGCATGTTGTGATCTGTGGGGGAAACCGGAGTACCCGGAGGAAACCCACGCATGCATGGGGAGAACACACAACTCCATGCAGAAAGGCCGCAGCCGAGCCGAGTTTCGAACCTCCAACCTCCTGCTGCGAGGCAACGGTGCTAACCACTGCGCCACCATGCAGCAGATTATGTATTATCGACTTTCTATTACTAAGACAAAAGCAGAAGTGAATAATTATAAAGATGTAAGAAAATATCGATATGGCAATATATCGTGATATTTTTCCAGCGATATATCGATATTCAAAAGCCATTTATCTAATTTTTGGAAGAATTTCCATGCAAACATTTGTGTATTTTCTTTTCTTTTGGTGCAATTCAAACACCGACCACTAGTCAGCAGCAGTGTGCAATGGGTTCTGTTTCTACCAATGAAATGTAAGTCCCTCCATTACGTTCAGATACCTCATGTTAAACGTGTTACATATCAGTTTGGACTGTTCATTGAATTTTCCTACAATAAATTCAGTCTAAAGAAATCGCTAACATCATCGGGCTGAATGTATCGCAATATATCACGATATATTATATCGTCTCCCCTGTATCGTGATACGTATCGTACCACCAGACTTTCACCAATACACATCCCTAATTAATTATTAAATATGTATAATAGTTGGTTTAAACAGGACTGATGAGCTAACGGCTAGTCTGAATGCAGCCAATATGAGTGTGTTGCTTCCATCTTAAATTTTATAAACCTTCGTGTTACCTTAAACGTCTCCTTGTATAATAATGTATGTGTTAGGTTTCAGTTTTGCACAAAAACGAGCAAGAAAAGGTAAAATAGCTGATGCCACATAGCTTTTCTTGTAGGACACGTGGTGATCTGGCAGCTTCAGCTCAGCAGCAAGCCAACCAAGAGCAGAGCGATGAGTGAAGAATAAATAATCGTAAGATCTCTGGTGTTAGACTAGTAAAAGCATTTCAGGTTCAGAAATAAGCTAGCTCCACAATAGGGAGCCTAGGCTCCTCCCCTTCTGGTGAGCTCATGGCTCCATGGAACAAAAATAAATGCATGGAAGTGAGCTAAAAGAGCGACTTTACTAAACCGCTTTGCCTTACACCCAGAATCACACATGCTGTGCTTGATTTTAAATGAAAAGCAATTACACGAGTTTCGACTATGTCACGAGATTTATTAGCTTGTAAAAATTCGTAATTAAATTACTACGAGAGGATAAACTCTATTTTCTAATCCTGGTTGATATGCACCATGGGTTTAATATATGGTATTTTAGGTTTTGTGTGAAAAGATGTAGTGGACTACAAATCCTCATCTCACCAAACTGACGTCATCGAACCAGACACGAAGAACAGGAAAAGAAAATGGCTGTGAGTTTAGCCAACTTCACATCCTTCTTCCAGGATGACAGAAGGAGCCTTTAAGGAGGAGAAAGCAACTATGAATCTAGCCATGTGGTGACTGGAGAGTAGCAGCTACGAGGTTCTGTGGTGACTAGGCTTGGGCGGTATTACCGTATACAGCCGGTGTTAAAAAACAGAAATGGTGTCAGTTCCAATACCGCCATGAAAAAAACCCCAGTGCATTTAGAAGACAAAGATAAAAAAATTAAACAAATAAAGGTCATTTAAGCTATAAAACAGATGTGTGGTTGAATTTTCAGTTTTACTTCAATAGTTTCAAATGTTTTCTCCAAATTTTAGAGACGTTCCATAAAGTCTATGAACGTGATGTGATGTCATGTGACAGCGCAGAGAGAAAAATGGCAGCTCGCACACCAGCTGACTTGGTGTCTAAAAGCAACACAACTTCTGCAGTTTGGCAGTATTTCTGGTTCGAAGCGAACTTAAAAACTGATGAGGTCATTTGTCCAAACAAAAGATGGCGGTGAAAGACGCACGCCCTGTCGGAGCGAGCCGTAGCTGAAACAGCTGTCTTGGGTCTGGAGCCTGTAATTAAAAGAGACAACAATGCAGCCAGCCTTCCCCAAATGTAGCCCAAAAGTATCAAAGTACCCGTATGTCGGTGCCACAAGCGGGTTTTCAGCAGTCGGAGGTTTAAGCCGGTAAACACGCCGAATTTTCAGGCAAAAAAAATCCTTTTATAAGCTGTGTTTTTTCAAAGTTATTAAAATTATGTGTATTGTGTTGTTATTGTTTTAGCAATAGTGTTTGTTGTTCAGTTTCTGAAAGGTAAAGGTCCAAACCAACAGCTTGGTAATTCCACTTGAGGCTTACGGCATCATTTTAAATTAGTCCCGGTAATACCGCACACCTTGGTAAAGTGTGGAGGAAGCTAGACGGTACTGAAATCTGGATACGGCCCAAGCCTAGTGGACACGTGACATCTCCCACAGACAGAGTCCTAACCTTCACTACATGAAAATGCAGATTATTAAAGACGGCTGTTTGAATGAACTGAAGACATGACTGGTTGACAAGCCTTGCAGCAGGATGCAGCATATGTGTGTGTTAGGTGGTGAACACCGGGTTATAAATGCAAGCCAGGATCTGCTGTTACACATTTCATTAACGCAAGGGCCCCGTGCCTCTCAGCTGGAGCAGCAACTGTATCCCATGATAATCTGAAACCAGGGCAACCTGCTTTGTCACACCAGCCTTCAATACAGTGCTCCGATTTCCAGGAAGTGATGATGTAAGAGCTCTCTGGGCCTCTTGCTACAAATGGCCGTTAGAGACGGAAACTAGAGAGGGCACAAAGCAGCTCTGAAGATGACGAGGCTGCAGCCTCATTAACATAAATACCTGTACGACTTTATAGCTACAGGGGTTTGAAACATGTTTTTATAGATTAACTCAGCATCAAATCGTCATGGAAACCCAGCCAGCTGTTTAATAATGTAAAGTAGAGCTAAAAGGCCACAGGGGAGTCACCTGGACTCACAGTAAGACTGACTGGAAACCGCCTGAAGGGAAACGCCAAACTGAAGTGTGAACGAGTCACGTGCTGGTCTGTTTGTTGTCTCCAACAAGGTAAACAACTAAGCTGGTGCCCAGTGCACATGAACCTGGTGATAATCAGTTTTAAGAATAGATTAGTTTCATTTTCACGACTACAGTCTGTGACAGACCTGCGATTCTGAGATTAAAGTAAATGTGAACACGGTCATTTACTGATGCTTCACTATTTTAATGAAAATGAAATAAGGCTGTTTGATTCTTCCATGCCTAACTTACTGTGCTGAAGTGTGGGCCAACAACCTCACAACTCCATTAAATTACTACAGAAAAGGGCTGTTTGAATTCTAGGCTGGGTATCTTGACCATACAAGTCCTCTCTCTCTCCAATCAAAATGATTAAAAACGCAGGATCTTGTAAATTTACCAAGCCCCCACAATGCGGCTCAAAAATTGGGCCCAACCTGGAAGTACCAAAAATTGCAGTTCCACCCTCATCCACTAGGGGCTGGTGTCAGAAGCGAGCAAATCCTCATTGACTCCCATGTTAAAAAT